GCGCGTGGGATTGTGGGATCTCTCTTATGACTGGATCTAGTTTCGAGAACTCTCTCGAGTCGATTGCGATTGAACCTCGTTTCAATCTCGACTGAAACGAGGTTCAATCGCATGGTCGATGGAGATTGCACCAGGCGAACATGATATAAGGCTCTAGTAGTGTTACAGAGTATAATACGTATATTTTAATATATTTTTTAAAAGAAACAAAACCACTGAGAAACGTTACGTGTATTTAACAGGTTCGGAAAACTTTGAAAATGTTAACAACGGGTTCAGCCGAACCTGTGCGAACCCGCTGAATATCACCACTGCTTACACACATATACAAATTCACACACCATATAATATGATCTGTATTTTTTTATTGAAAACTAAATTTTTTAATAATGAATGATGATGTATTATCTAAATACTAAAAATTTGTGCCTATGTATAAATTGTATTTTTAAAAATAATTTATGCTTAAAATTAATGATTATTATTATTTTTGAGGAATGAGATATAAGTTGTTCAATAAAAATAAATACTATTACTGCCATCAAATTACATAAGTAAATATTTGATATGCCAATTGAACTTTGAATTATTTATCAGGCTGTAACAAGGTAAATTTAATGATTAAATTTATTTCTATGGTAATTTGGAGGAAAAGATTAATTCGGTATGGCCCAGAGCCATACCGAATTAGTTAAGTAATTAATACTTCTGTAAGCAAAGAGCAGATGGGGGTCTGGGGAATATAACTGGAAACTTGAAAATCTTTTTTGTTTGTAAATATTATATTTTCTTTTCAGACATTCCATTCAATCTTCGAAATGCTCATGCATTTTCTATCAGTAATAGCTTACGTGAAATGATGCAAAAGCACACTTGCTGTATTCAAGACATCATAATTTTATTGTTGATATTTACATCTTGGTATACTGTTTTACATAATAATGAGGTATTGTTTACTCTATTTAATCTTTAGTTTTAAATATTTGTATTTTAAAAGTTTTTGTATCTGAAATTTTTGTCATTTGATGACTTAATGATTTTGATAAGTTCTTTGATACCAGCATTCTTATTTTTAAGAGAAGTATTGTCAAAAGCAAGCTTAAAGAAATGTCAGTTTTAATATATTTAATAGTGTACAAGTCATATTATTTTTGAGAGATTTAATTATTGTTAGGACAGAAATACCTGAGCTCTGCTAATTATCATGTTAATGGAGAGTATTTGTTTGATATTGCATCAGTTTGTAAGAGAGATGAAATTATAAAAGACATCTGGGTAATTTATTATTGATTTGTAAAAAAAAAATTGATAAATCAATAGAATTTATTCAAAACTTCTCAATAAGATTGAAACTGTAAAATCTCAGTATAGACTAGAGTAAGTCTATTTTTTAGATAATGTAATTGAAAAGGAACTGATAAATATAGAATAGTTATATATATTCCATAGATGATGTAAGAGTCACTGAAATATAAGTTAGTGGTATTTAAAGAATTACATAAAGAGACTGGGTAAATATTTTAAATAATTGGGAAAAATTAGGCCAAGAATAATTTGGAAAGCAATTTATTGAAGATTTTGGAATTGAAAAAGCAGTTAAGAAAGTTATTGATTGATATCACCTAAGATACATAAGAAAACATGGGGATCCAGAATTCAAGATTTAAGAAAGTACCTAAAATTAGTTAAGGATATTTATAAAACAGATGTATAAGTAATTAATTTACAGAAATGACTTTTGTTGTTTTTATGCTTTTTCTATTGATATTAATTAACCAGAGACTTGAGTGTGAAGATTTTTATAAATTTTATCTCATGTTAATCAAATTAATCGGTTGTCATCATTGACGTGATCATTCATAACAGAAGATACCATTTCTAAAAAAAACAAGAAATGTTTTTGTAAATACAGCCAATTTTAAATTTATTACAATAAGATCTTAAAATAATTCAAATTTTTTCTTTAAGAATCAAGCTTAAAGATTTTGCTAGATATGACTAATTTTATTATGTGCAATCTAGAATCAATTTATAGAATCAATGAAAGATGAAAGCTAGTTTATTAAAAGTGTATTTTAATATCAAACTATGTGAAATGGTCTGATTTGATTGCACAGTAACTACAAAAGATTTGGATAAATTTAGAATTTATAGCATAGAACTTTAATATTCAAATTTGAAATAAATGTTACGTTTGTTATATTATTACTACTTATGCAGGTTAATTCACAGAGTTTGTAACAAAGTTTATATAGAACGTTGTACTATAACTCTTTTATATACGTCATAAATTAGATTATTTTACAGAAAAAATTTGTATAATAATTATAATTAATAAACAAAAGAAAATGTGCTGTTCCAAACATGCGTAACATACAAAGAAAAACACTACCCTGAGAAAATTAGCAAATACTCGAACTTACCTTCGAAATAGTGTCTGTGATGAATGGATAGAGTACTTATTGTGCAGGTAGTTCTCTTTTGCACAGACAACATACCACATTCACTACACAAACGTCTGGAAACATTAGACCTTGACAATAGAATATACATCACATTATAGAAAGCAGCCTTACTAAACATGTCACACAGGAAACTACAAACATGTACATTAACATCACACAACAACAGTAGTTTTTCTGTAGCTATACCTTTAGCTTGACCCACCAGCATTGCATTAAACACTAGTATTAGTTGAGTATAATATGATTTAATTCACTAACACCATAAAAAAAACATAGCAGAATCAATTTATTATTACATTTCTTTAAAATGTTTGATACTAATTCTGTTTAAATTTGAAGAAACAGTTCTGTTTTTTATTTATTTTTTTAACATGTTTATGAATTTAACTGTATATAAACATCAAATTATTTATAACTTCAAAAAAATTGATTTTTTTAATAACTATTGTAAATATTTTGAATTCAAAATTATTTTACAATGTAAGGTTTTGTATTTTTATTTTAGATGTTCAGAGAGATTATACACTGGCATCCAAAGGATATTTCATTCAAGATACAATAAACTTTAAAAAGTATATTTTTATGTCCAATTTTTCGACGACAACAAAACTGCTTTATTTCATTGTTATTAACAGGTATTTTTATTTAAAATTATATTAACCATAATATTGATAATTTTACATGTAACTATTTAATTAATCGCGGGTACATTTGTAATTATTATTCTAATTAAAAATATTAAATATTCATTTAGAATGGTTATAATAAGTTAAGAGGATATGTATTATGTATAAATAAGGAGATACATTTACCAGTTTGAGCCAATATAATCAAATATGTATATAAAGTAAACCAACTATTTTTAACCAGTAAGTTACTCAATAGAAAGCAAACACTTTTTGATCACTTTCAATGAGTGTATTTGATGCACTCAAAGAATTAAAATATGCATTATTGAAAACATTTTTTTCCCTCTGTTAAACAACTTAATTCCAGTTGTAATTATTTATTTTGTGATTAAATCATTTGATGGATCAATATTTTTCTTAAACTTTTCAAATAAACTTATTTCTGTTGATTTTAATATCTCTATTGATAAGTAAACTACTATATATTTATTCATTATTGCATTTATTTGGTCGAAATGTTTAGAATATCAAATTTTAAATGAAATGATTAATTATTGAAAAATGTTTTTCTAACATCACATCTTATATTTCACTCAAAAATAACTGTCAGGAATTTTTTAAAATTATAAATTAAAATATATAATTTTTTTAAAAGAAATTATTTTTACAAATTTTTAATGTGAAAAAAAAAATTTCACATAATCTTTATAGTTATCATTATTAAATTTCAAGTATCATTTGAAATATAAAAAAAATTAAAAATTACCATGAAAACAGCCCTGTAAGTATAAAAATTAATTTTTCTAAATTTTTAACTGGATTACATCTAGCCAGGTACTGTTAAGAATTATGGCAGAATGTAATATATATGGTCATACAGGATTCTTGATGCATTGTTTTTCCCACTGAAGAACAAATTTTTTTAACTGTCTTTACCAATAGTGATGAATGCAAAAAGATGCAACACTGACAGTTCTGCATGCACATATCATACATCTGGTTCAAAATATTATGTAAAAGCAGGAAAAGATTCTCAGCTATATTGTATATTTTTTCTTTTTATTAATATTGAATATATTTCTAGAATAATATTTCTAAAAGAAATAGCTTGTTTCTGAAGTTTTCAAATTGCAAATGGATAAAATGACAAATATTCTAACATGTATGATTTAAGTTTGCAGTTAGTGAAGTCAAAGAGAATATTTTAAAGATATAACTTTGAAAAGAATAACTTATGATTTATTATTATTTATATATGTTACCAGCCAAACCCAATTTCAGGCCAAACGGGTTTAACCTACGTGTGTCAGGATATACTAGTTTAGCCCAGGACAATCTAGTTTGGCCTAAACACTTTAGGCTTAACTAGTTTGACCTAGGCCGAACTGATTTAGAATTATTATTCAAGTATATTATTAATGGTTAAAATAAAATTAAAAGGCAATCAATTAGATGAACAATATTTATTCAAACATAGTCTACTTAATTATAAAAAAAACGGTATTGATTAGAAGTGACAGTTGTACAAAACTATGAAATAAAAATAAGCTAATCAGTACTTATCAGTTTGTATTTTTTTTTATTAAACCATGCACTTTTAAAGGTAATTAACTTTCGAGAATATTTTCAAAAATTCAAACGAAATAATAAAAATAATTTTTAGAGTCAAACTAAAATTAAAAATTTAATCTTTTATTTATTTTTACAGGATGTACTGTGGCTGCATTTCGAATTATACAAAATCCATTTTTTTTTACACTGGCACTTACTGTAGCACAGTTTTTTATACAGGTGAATCTCAAAACCTTGTCCTGTTCCAACTGAATGTTTGGTAGCTGCAGTCCTTAGTGAGATTTGAACATCTTGATTAACATCACTTTCTTTTAGAAATTTTTGAGTATAATGATCGAATTCAGTTCTGTAATAAACAAATACTTTATTTTGACCAAATTACATAACATACTTATGCTTTTCAGACCAAACAAAACAGCGTTTAACATTGTGCTTTTTTTCTTTGTGATGTTATTGATGCAGCTCACAGAGCTGTCAGACACGACGGACATGACAGATTATTGGTTGAGACATCTTTAAAATATGCTAATGTCACAAAACTGATGATTAACCTTTATTTATCTATGTGTGTAACATGTCAAGAAAAGAAGACGAAAAAAAAGAGAGGTTTAGTTTCTAAGCCAATTTTACATTCTCAAATGAACAGTAGATGCCAAGTGGATCTCATTGATTTTCAGATTCAACCTGATGGAAAGTTTAAATTTATCATGGTCTACCAAGACCACTAAACCAAGTTTATTTTGCTTCGTGCTTTGGAATCTAAATGAGCTGAAGAAGTAGCCTACCATTTGAATGACATTTTTGAAGCTAGGTGCCCCATATATTTTGCAGTCAGACAATGGAAGAGAATTCGTCAATCGTATTATATGTGAAATGATGAGTCTTTGGCCAGAACTTAAGCTAGTGCATGGAAAACCACGGCACAGCCAAAGTCAGGGCTCTGTCGAGAGAGCCAACCAAGACGTCGAGAACATGATCAGTTGTTGGCTAAAAGATAATCAATTGACTAAATGGTCAGAAGGCTTGAGGTAGGCCCTGTTTTTCATAAATTGTACATATCATTTGGACATAAAACAATTGCCTTACAAAGCTATGTTTGGAGTTGAACCCAGAGCTGGTCTTTCAACGACATTACTACTACCAGAAGTAATAAAGGATATTTAAGATGAAGATGACCTTCAAAAACTTATTGAAACTGATTTAACCCATAGACAGACAAATGATCACAATGATTCGGGAGATGATCATGATGGTAATGATACCGAAACTTCTAAAATTGGTGATGATATCTAAAAGGCAAGATAAACAGCTGCTGAAAACCTTCAGAAACAGGCAGAAAAAAAAAGAAATGAAATCTGCTTCTGACAAATCGCATCTGCCAGCTAAAGTGAAAGATAATGCAACTGTGCCCATTCCTGATGTAGACAGAGGAAGGGGCAACCTAAGAAATGTTATTGGTGTTGTTCTTGAAATAAATAATGATGGCCTGTACACAATTGAAACTTAGCATGGAATATTGCAGACACTCTATTGCAGATTAGTTATGCATTTTATTATTTATTTTTTCTCAAATTACTTCAAAAAAAAAATTCTTTTTTTAATGATCATATTACTCTATTTCACTGTCAAATTTGAACTGATTTCGATGATTATTGTTTTTATATTTGGAAGAGGTTTTCAAGTTTTATGAATTTTTTTCAGATAAGTTTTTGTATAATATTTTACAGCNAATTTATGAAAAATAGGGCCTATCATTCGGGCATAAAACAATCGCCTTACAAAGCTATGTTTGGAGTTGAACCCAGAGTTGGTCTTTCAACGACATCACTACCACCAGAAATAATAAAGGATATTCAAGATGAAGATGACGTTCAAAAACTTATTGAAACTGATTTAACCCATAGACATACAAATGATCACAATAATTCAGGAGATGATAGTGATTGTAATGATATCGAAACTTCTAAAATTGGTGATGATATCCAAAAGGCAAGACAAACAGCTGCTGAAAACCTTCAGAAACAGGCAAAAAAAAATGAAATCTGCTTCTGACAAATCGCATCCACCAGCTAAAGTGGGAGATAATGTGACTGTGCCGATTCCTGATGTAGACAGAGGAAGGGGCGACCTAAGAAATGTTATTGGCGTTGTTCTTGAAATAAACAATGATGGCCTGTACAAAATTGGAACTAAGCATGGAATATTGCAGACACTCTATTGCAGGTTAGTTACGCATTTTATTATTTATTTTTTTTCAAATTACTTCAAAAAAAGAAATTCTTTTTTAATGACCATGTTACTCCATTTCACTGTCAAATCTGAACTGATTTCGATGAATATTGTTTTAATATTTGAAAGAAATTTTCCAGTTTTATGAATATTTTCAGATAGGATTTTTGTATAATATTTAATTATAATAAAGGCCTGATAACGATCTTCGAAGAAAAAAAAGCGCAATGTTAAACGCCGTTTTGTTTGGTCTAAAAAGCATAAGTATGTTATGTAATTTGGTCAAAACAAAATATTTGTTTATTACACAACTGAATTCAACCCTTGTACTAAAAAATTTCTACAAGAAAGTGATGTTAATCAAGATGTTCAAATCTCACTAACAACTGCAGCTACCAAACATTGGAACAGGACAAGGTTTTGTGAGGTGCACCTGTACCAAAAATTGTGCTACTAAAGGTGCCAGTATAAAAAAAAAATGATTTTGTGTAATTCGAAATGCCGCCACAGTACACCCTGTAAAAATAAATAAAAGATTAAATATTTTATATGTTACACTAAGAAGCACAAATAAGTTCATTTTTAATTTTAGTTTGGCTTTAAAAATTATTTTTATTATTTCGTTTGAATTTTTGAAAATATTTTCGAAAGTTAATTACCTTTAAAAGTGCATGACTTAATAAAAAAAAATACAAACTGATAAGTACTGATTAGCTTATTTTTATTTTATAGTTTTGTACAAGTATTGTGTCACTTCTAATCAATACCGTTTTTTTATAATTAAGTAGACTATGTTTGAATAAATATTGTTCATCTAATTGATTGCCTTTTAATTTTATTTTAACCATTAATAATATACTTGAATAATAATTCTAAATCAGTTCGGCCTAGGTCAAACTAGTTAAGCCTAAAGTATTTAGGCAAAACTNTTTTTCTTCTCGGATTAATGGACCGATTTTAGAACCTACCTGTACGACCACGTCGGAGGACTACTACACTCTGATACTTCACATCTGTACTAGAGAAAGTATTAATTAATGGGTGAGGAAACTATAAACTAAGTAAAATGCATTCACACTTAATGGCTCAAAACAGCAAAATTTGTAGATTAACTTGCGTAGTTAAAGTCTTTAATATTAACCTCATAAGTCATGTCAGAAGTTGGAAGAGAAACAAGTAGTAGCAAGCATTAATTCTATTGTTATTATTTGTTAGGTTTATCCATTTTGATTTGACAATTTAATATTAAACAAAGTAAGATGATATTTGTAATGAAAAGTCATACAATTACTGTATAATTCTCCTCATTATAACTAAATACATATTTCTATAAAAATAATGTATTGACTGTTTTTAGGTTTTTCATTGAAAATATTCTGTGGTATATGTGAATTCCTGTTCTAAAGGCAATTGGATCAAAAAAGAAAATTATAAAAAAAGGAACAAAATAATACAAAAGATTTATTTAAATAAACCAGAACACGAAATCCTCATATTTCTACAAAATTCTTGTCGTCATTTGTAAAAGTTTTCTGATTTAATTTTTCACCCACTCGAGTTTCTTTCATATGTTCAAGTAATTTTTATTTTTACATAATTTTCATGATATTGTATATAAATTTATGCATGAAGAAATTATAAAGAAATTATTATTAAATATACAGTTGAATCATGTATGAACTTTTTAAACTTTTAACTTTGAATTATTATTAAAAATAATTTCTCTTCAGTTTTTTATTTTATGATTTTTTCTCTGCTTACTGAATTAATTCTTTACCAAAATTTAATTTTAAAACATAGATTCTGGAATTAAATTATTGGATCTTCCCTTTTAAGATGAAATTATATTTGTATGGCAGTTTTAAATTGCTACTGCTTCTTTGGAGTTTTTAAGAGGTCTAAATCAGAGACCAATAATTAATATTTAATATCAGTTTCAATCTGCATGTAATTATTATTAGGAATATTTGTATATTAATTATTTAAGTAAATTTCTTAATATGAAAAAGAAGTGTATTGAATTTGTTGATTAGATAAAATTAAGTGTATTGTAATCGTGATGTTAGTCGTACCTTTCATTATTAATTTTATCTAATCGGCAGCGTATAATCATTAAATTGAGAGGAAGTTAGTATGTAGCTTCTTATAAAAGTTAAAAATACAGTAGATCCTTTTTATATATTTTACTGTAAAAGATCTCCAATAAAAGTTACATACATCTTTACTTTTAAATATTTACATCATATACTACAGTACACACACAACACAAGTATGTACAGTGTGAGTTTCAGAATTGGATGGATACTCGAGAGATTGTCTATTCTGAAATGGAAAAGGTTTTTCTGAATATCGATAAGGAGAAGGATGCAGATGAAATTGAAAGTTTTAAATAAGGAAATAAACTACGTAACAAAAAAAAGGCTACCACAATCAACAAAACTACAAATATATATATATATAGAAAGTGAAAACCGAATATTCATTGGTGCTCTACTGAAAATCGACAACGCATACAAAATTCTCATAAAGTTTATGCGATGCAGAGCATTTTGCTATTCAACGTATACTGCATATAGATTGAGTAAATAAATATTTAAAAATATTATAAACATTAATAAATCGCTAAGACTTGTATAAAATTTTTAAACTAAATTGCTACGAAACATCAATTAAAAAAATGTGAAGTAATTTTGATATTATTCTCAGCATTGGCATTTATTGCAGCATTGTTTTTTGAGAAATTTGTTTGTTTTATAGATTTACAGCTATTTGTTGTTAGAATGTTTATGTGTAGTGTGAGAAATCATATACCATTATTGAAAAATTTCAGTTTTTTTTAAATATTGATCCATATTTATTAAATTTCTATGATAATTACTTCTGTCAGACATTAAGCATACAATATCCACTGTTTCGTATGTCTAAATAAATTGACATCAAGTGATAATCTGAGTAATTTTGGTACTAAAAAGCTTTTTACATTTACTCTGTATTATCCCTAAAATGTTTCTAAAATATCTAATTATTAATCTCTGATTAAACAATGTTTTTTTTTGTTTGTTTCCGAAACAACAAATAAAAATAAGCTCGAATGAATTAGGAGTTAAACGATTCAAAATCTGTCTTTTTTAATGTCACTGTTTTATTTGCTAAACCATTTGTACATTTTTTTTAATTAAAAAAGGGAATTTTTAAGATTTTGTTTTTTAAAAATTGCACAAATTCACTTTAAATGTCTCTAAAATAAGATAATAAATTAACACAGTAAAATAATACTAAAGTCATTGTTTGATTTAAGTGTAAAATTTTGTATTAGGAATTTATAATTTGATTTTTATAAAATCAGATTTTCAAAAAAGAATTTTTAACTAGGTATGATGTGACAATTAGCTTAAAAAAAATTAAAATAAAATTAAAAAAAATATATATATATATTTCTCAATAAAATGAAAGCTAAATGCTAGAAGACAAGATAAAAAAATTTTTTTTATATTTCTTTTTTAAAATCATTATGATCATCTAAAACTGATATTATACATTAAAAATTTCTCTTTAGAAGATAAAATTCAAGAATTTACAAATAATACTGTAATTCTAATAATATTTTCAAGCATTTAAGACGTAACTCCCCAATATAACTTTAATGTACATGTAACAAATACATATTTACAGTTCTAATTAGTATAAATTAAAGCTGCACATTGAACTGAAGATCTGTACTGATACTGCAGCAGAACATTCCACACGATAACATATATGGTACCTAAAGTCCACTGTGTAATTTTTCTTTTTCTTTTTTTTTTTTAGTTTTATGATTATATTGATAAATGAATTCATCAGAAAAACATAACAGAGTTAGAAGAATTTCCAAATATGTGAATTTTGAAACAATGGCAAGCTTTTGTTAGGTTGAAATCTACCAAAATATCCAACCTAGAACTATAAATCACAGTAAATTTTTATTTTCATATTCCAAAATTTAAATTATGGATGTTACTTCTTATTTTTTTAATAATGTTTTTTTTATCCAAGCATGCTTTTCCTTAGCCTCGAATAGCAAAACATTTTTTTTCTTATCAAAATAAATATGTATGACATGATCCGATAACTTTCCAAAGGGAGTTTTGTCATGAGTACTGGAATGAGTAACAATTTTCTTCTTTACTATGTGAACTTTTTGTTTTTTTTTTTTTAATTTTTAAAAATTAAACATATATTAGTTATTAAAAAAATCTTATCATTATCAACCTGCAGCTATTGATAAAATTCCACAGTTAAATTTCTACAGGACTTAATAAAAATTGTTTTAATTAGTTATTCTATCACAGTATAAGATATTACATTCACATAAGCAATTCTTGTTGTTTATTCCATGTTACATACATTTGAAGTAGGAATGCAACTTGAGCATGCATCATGTTATGTGTACACGAAGAAAAGACTTCATTCTTTTCATGCATCTGGGTACGCAACTGATACCATTCCAAGCCAGAGTCTTCAGATTTGAAAGTTGGAAATTAAACAATTAATTCAATATTATCAACATGTTTTTGTTTCTCATTTTTTTTAAAATTATTTTTAGGAAATTTTTTACACGTATGTATTTTGTTTGGTGCCAAACTTAAATTTTATAATTTTGATATAGATTATATATAGAAAATAAACATTTATCAATATCAAAAATTTTTTAACCTTAGTTTTTGAGATTGATATGACACACTAACATAAATATATTATTGTAATATAACTTTCTTAAAATGTTTAAATAAAGACCATTTCTAAAAAAGTTTTTTTTTTTAGAATTTTGTGTTTTTATCAGATGATATGCATTATTTTAAAACTTGAAAATGTGAATCAATTGCATGAATCCAGCAGACTGAGACAATAAAGAACAATATCACTAAAATATCAACAGGAGTCAACTAGTACCAGTGACAATTCATGTTTTAATCAAATCTTCAGACGGCCACCGTGCCATCCTGTTGTAAGTTACACTGAATGAAGGCATCGTATCATCTTTTCTTCCATCAACTGAAACCAACAAGTTACCACTCCTATTTATACCTCAACAATTATATATTCACATAGTTTTGTTACTCAAGTGCTACAGTACATAGTTTATGGACTGAAAAAATGTCAGTTAACCAATTTTCCATATTTCATGGAAGTCAAAGATAAATCCTACCAAACAGCCATTGAGGGGAGGAGGGATATTGAACTGGAGGCTTGATTATGCAAAACACCAATACAACTCCATTGACTCCCTCTCAATCCCATTATAATTTTTTAAAATTCTATTTTCACAAGAAATTTCTCCAGTGTCTAAACACTCCCCTGAAAAAAAAATTAAAAAAATACTTTTGCAACATTGCCTACTAAAATAATTGCAGATGCCAATTACCAGTAAATCTGTCAGGAGGCAAGCAACTGTTTAGTGAAATTTCTTATTTTTGTATGTCAGTTTAAAATCCCTTAAACGTTCCGGAGGGGTCTGGTGCATGTTGGCCTTAGCCGATGGGTCTGTTCATGCCACATATTATATAACTAAAGAGAATAATTCAATCAATGGGCAACAGCAGGAATAAACAGCAAACTTAGCACCTCTGTAATTACCATTTTTTTTTCCAAATAGACAACACCATAATCACAACTTCACCACTGACTGACTACCAACCCTTGCAATGGCAGAAGCATGGTTGTAAATAAGTTGAAACAAAATTAATAACATGTATAATTATAAATCTAAAATTACATAAATTTCTTTTTTTTATATCTACATTATATTCTCTTGACAAAAATCATGCAGATAACATCACAAAAATAAGCTTAGCTTTTTATCTAAAGGTCTTCATCAAATTGCCAACCAACCAATAATTTATACAATGCATATCACTTATTTTAGATGAAGACCTCTAGTTTTAAAAAATTTTAAAAATGCAAATAATAAAGCACTCAATTTTTTCTTGCTATAATTTTCAATATTTTGCAAGCTTTACAAGAACCAAATTACAAATAAAAAGCATATTACTGACCAGAGTAATGTCTGACATTTTTTTAAGAGGAGAAAAAAATCTACAACAAGATAACAACAAGAACAATCAACTACCACGAGTAGGAAACATGCGGTCAAACATCAACCCTCCACAAATCAAAATCAACCTCACTTGCAAAATGGCAGTGAAAGTGCTAAGAGTATATCTTTTTTTTTATATATATATTTTTAATTGTTCTATTTCCAACACCTTTTAGCTTGCAACTTACTGCCTTCCCTAACACAAATGAAGCCATAAACAGGGATATTTCTCAAGTTTGGCCACTTTAGCTACAGAAACGTCCACAAGCTAAGCATGGACTTACTCAAAAGTTAAGAAACACTGATCATCTGCTTACACCAAATTAACAATACTTAAGCTTGCAAGAACTTCCCACATAATCCCTATATTGTGGGCGATGAGAAGTGCAGATGTTACCCAGTTAACTGTGTAGATATCACTATAATACACCATTGAACTGCCCAGAGGCATTAGTGATAGCTTTTGAAGATTGCCAATTTTTTCTTTTATCTTGCTACACTCCTTCATGGTCAGCCACATACTATACAATTTGATGTCGATATCATCCGTGAACACTACACATACACAATAATGCCTGGACTGATCTCTCTACTTCCCAGGGACTGTGGATCTACACCATGATGGTCTCAGCAAGTGAAATTTGTACAAAAACATTTTTCAACATTAACATGTAATATTTTTTTTATCTTTTTTATGCAAATATTTTTTAAACTTCTCCTTAAATTTACATTACTCATCAGGTTTTGATCCCTGAAGAAGAGCAACGAATCTTGCCATTTGTCGATGTGTAACAATGTAAGAAAAGTCCAACTTCTAAAGTTTGGAAAACAAGGAGGATTTAGAGGCTATTGCAAAGCAAGCCTGACATTTTTCCTCTAAAAACTCATCACCACAAAGTATAAGGAATGGTGACTACACCTGGCTACTCAACTTGAGAATGTCGTCATTATACTTTACAAGGAAATGGTGACATTGTCAAGTTGGAGACCAACAAACCCCAATTTTTAACAGTACAAGAAAAAGTTGACATCATCTGATTTGAAAGCCGGACAGAAGTTTTTATCACCTTAATACACAAAAAGATTGGTGAGGACAATCCATCACCTCACTGTACAAGGGAATGGTGCTATCACCAGCTTAAGATACCTGAGGACCTCATCAACTCACCTGACAAAGAATGATGAGATCCCCAGGAATATGGGACGAGAAACCGAATGGTGTGGCACCACAAGAGTTCTGGATCACATCTTGCATGAATGCTACACAGAAACAAGTCAGCGTCGTACCGGTGGATTACTTACAAGAACATGTACAAAGTAAAGCAGTCATGGCCAGACGAATGGGTGGTTTTTGTCAGCTCACAATTATAGTTGACACCCTCATTCACTGGGAGCAGCACAACAGTCCCATGTTGTCAATAATGCAAAGACACATGCCCCTTGTACTACTTCTGGTTCTGCAAGAGTCCAATTTTTACTTAGGCTCACGAAGTTGCACCATCATTTCCCACCTTCTGACGTCTTCTCTGTCAACTCTTTCATCTTATCAACATAGTCTGCAAATATGTCACGGAATCGTGACCACGATTTTTCTGGAATGGTGATTGCTGTTCGAAAATTACTCTTCACCTGTAAAAAAATACAGAGGATGTAGAAGCAAAAGATCCCTAACAGTTTTAATAATTCCAACACAAAAAATATTATTTCTTCTTATAGATCTAGCTCTAAGTTAATATTAACTTGGAGCTAGATCATATATCAAAATTACTGAATGTTATCACTGAACACCAATGATATATAATTTCATATTAGTTTAGATGTAGAATTTCACTTTAGCTAATAGAGGTTTTAGTTACTATTAGAAAATATTGTTTCTTACAATATGAATAATTGTTTACTAAATAATGTCATCAAATTATCAATTAATAAGATAAATTGACAATTCAATAATAACTATGATTTAGAAAGAATTAATGCAAAAGAATATATTAATATATATTAATTTCTTATATTAGAAATTAAAGACAATTATGGGAAATATTATTATTTTANCATGACTTAATAAAAAAAAATACAAACTGATAAGTACTGATTAGCTTATTTTTATTTCATAGTTTTGTACAACTGTCACTTCTAATCAATACCGTTTTTTTATAATTAAGTAGACTATGTTTGACTAAATATTGTTCATCTAATTGATTGCCTTTTAATTTTATTTTAACCATTAATAATATAGTTGAATAATAATTCTAAATCAGTTCGGCCTAGGTCAAACTAGTTAAGCCTAAAGTAGTTAGGCCAAACTAGATTGTCCTGGGCTAAACTAGTTTATCCTGACATGCGTAGGATAAACTCGTTTGGCCGGTAACATATATACTGAAATGCAAATTATGCTCATTACTATTCATCTTATATTGGACAAAGTATAATAAGATACTTTTCAAGATATGTATCAAAACTTTGGTTCAACTTCTTCTATTCAGATCATTTGATTTACTAATAACCAATAAATTTTTAAAGAGGTAGAAAGGATAATAATATTATTGCACTTATTAGGTATGATTGAACTTGGTTTTAACAAATATGGATATAAGAATTAAAATTGAAGAATATATTTGAAAAGCCAGCAAAAGTTCTGGCTGTAGATTAGTGGTGAGCAACATATTTTTTGTAGGAAGGCTAATTCAAACAAAACAAAAATGTAAATGCTATAATGGCTAAAAATGGTTTTTAATTTCAGTGAGAAAACAGCTCTCTAATCTTAATTTGAGTTGGTTTCTGAACATATTATGCACAAATATATGTAGGTCTTGCCATTTGCTGTATGTGATTTTTGTTACTGGGTAAATAAAAAGAACAACAATACGATGTGGATATCAACAGCAAAATTATATCACAAACTGCATGAAAAATTCTATGGGTTGCTTACCATTGTATCTAGAAATGATTTGAACTAGTTTTTTGTTAATAATTAATTATTTATGGGTAATTTTTAGATTAAATATTTTTGTTTTGATATGGAATTTCTGTTTATCTTCAAAGACAGCATATTTGGTAAGTTTTATAAGTAATGAAAAAAGCCAACAATTTTACTTTACTTGAACTCGTCAATATTTATATGTTTAAAATTCTATCAAAAACTTTTTAGTGTAATGTTAACTTTTAAAAAATGAATATATGACTTGCAGTAGTAAATATATTATTCTTTCTACTGCAATTCACGTGAATTAACAAAATGTTTCACTGACGAATATTAAGTAATTTTAATGACAGTCTGTAAATATGAATCATATATCAAAGTGTAAATAGGTCCTTTAGAATGGCAAGCAATCTCTTAACATTGTTTCTGTTGTTTTAAAATATTAGAACATTCAGTAGCATCTCTAATTGCCATGTTAGATGCGAATGTGTTTTTTTTATAGTGTGAGTATTAAAAAAGTTTATAGCAGTTTCACACATTAGTAAAAGGATTTGATCTTGGGACTAGACAGGTTTATATTTTTGAAAATGTAATTTTGTATGTTATAATTTTGCCTTTTTTTATCATCTAAAATTTATCAAAATGAGAGATGTTATGAAATGTATAATAAATATATCATGTAATTTTATATAAAAATTTAGAGAATTCCTTTTATATAATGCCTTAGTCCTCATAATTACAATTCCACCAGCTAAAGCTAATAATAATTTAGCATTATCTAAATAATAATAATATCTCTGAAAAATAATTTAAAAAATTTTATAAAAATCAGGTCTAATAATAAAATTTGAGCTCTTAATGTATTTTTGTCTTTAAAATAGTTATGTGCATAATTATTGTACAAAAAAAGAAAGGAAAAACTAAGGTCTAAGAAGAATGATACATGAGAAAGCAATTTAAAATATTCCTGTTACATTGCAATGTATAATGAGAGATTGATGAATTATTTAGTTAAAAATATCATCAACAAATCAGCATTATAAATTTAATTTTTTCCCCTCTCCCCTTGTGGAGTTTATTTTTAAGAATCAACTAAATTTATTTGAACATATATGTTCTTAAAATATATAGTAATATATGATTTTTGAATATAAGTTCATGCATCTGTTCAAAATATTCCTTTTTGATTCAGATGAAAAACAGTAAGAAAGAAAAAAGATTGTTTTATGTGATAAATAGTGTAAATTCTGAAAAAGTTTAATAACTATACAATTGTCTTCAATACATTATTCTGCCAAATTACATAATATAAGAATTTTATTTTACATTCTTATATACGGAGATGATGGTTGGTGGGATTTGGCAACAGAATGCAAGGGTGCTCTGCCAAGAGGGAAGTCTCCTGCCAGGATTTTCAATGGAATCTGACCCTTATTTAGGCGTTAGATGTGCGAAGAAAACCCGAAAAACTCCACATCTGGTCGACCAACTATGGACATTCAGCAGTTTATCCATTTGACCAGTTTTATCCTTAGGCTGGATGACAAGACATACATCATGAATTTTAACTCAAAAAAGAAAATTCAGTTTTTTATTTAACACACACACATTAAAAATATCATTTTTTTTTAATGTCAATAAAACTAAATCGTCATCTTTTTCAAGTTGCATATTTGAGTACTTTCTAAGGTCAAATTCTAAAAATTTATGTAAAATGGCATAATGATAAAAATCTTATGCTGCATAAAACAAAATAAATATCTGAAATATATTTATCCAAATTTACATTTTGATACTCTATTTTATTCTAGAAATTCAGCAGATTTTGATTGGCAGAATAAATAAATAAACCATAATCTTACAATTACATTTGAAATTATTTTTTCATTTTTTTTAGTTTAATATTACAGTAGAATTTAAAAATTTGTCAGATAATTAAAGTACCGACTCGTCGGGAGTCACATATTTTTGCATCGACTCCCCATCCCTGATTGATACCACTCAATATCTAGCATAGAAAAGTTCTGTAATAATTACAGTGTAATTACAAAATGTTTTTTTCACACTATATACTGGGTAGCATCAGTGTTAGTAATTAAGCGTCATACAGTAAACTCACCATCATCTTTCCGATCAGCCATGTTATAAAATTGCAATCATAAAAGCTTTTGTAAAACATATGGTTATTTCATGAATAGTGTGCCATGGTAATTGCAGATGTCTTACCAGCCTATTTTAGCCGAAAATGTCATATTAAAACATTATCGCATGTACCCATAAAACAAGTGTATGAGATGCACCGACGTGCTCGACCATACAGGATATGCCTTATTTTCAATCTCTGTGTTATCTGGCTCGGCCATCCTTTACGTTAAGCCAGGTAATCACGAGTCTACTGTACCAAATGCATAACTTTGTGTTTGATCAAAAATGCTCAGTTATATAAACCATTTTATGCTTCTAATCAGCTATTTTCTGAGCATTTTGATAAATTTACTAAAGCTTTGTGATCTATAAATAGATTATTTTTGATATATGATTTTGTTAGAGACAGACTAATAAAATAAAAACTGAGTTTACTGTAAATAAACCTTTCTAAAACATTTGAGACAATCAAATTTTATTCTGCTTACAAATGACAGCAGTTTTCAATTAAATCCAAAGCAGGAGTTCCCAACTTGGTTACTAATGATACCTGTGGGTTGATGGACAAGTTTAATATAATATGACTTAATTATATAGTAAAATTTAATGGGTTTTTTTTACTTAACATAGAAATGAGGAAATTATGATTGATTTAAGACAAACCACAAGTTTCAAGTTAAATTAAGATTTTTTTAACAGAAGAAAAAAAATCATAAGTGTTTTAAATTAAATGCTCTCCAACAATGCTTATGTGAACTGATGCTTGTGTGAACCTTGCATATTATAGCCAAAAATGTCTATTGCTACAAGTAAACAATGTGATATGTTATTCATAATGTATCATTTTGTTAGTGTGAAACAAGTGTCTCAGAATTGAGAAAATGCTGTATTATTAACTCCTGTTTGGTATCACTACAGAAAGGGTTGAGAATACCTGACTGAAATAACAAAATAATGCTTTATAAATAAAATTCAATAGTATGGAATTAGTAGATCGAGTCTTTTTGAAAATGTGTTAATTATGAAAGCCTAAATGATAGGCAGGATGATTCTAAATTATTGTTGAAGTTTCTGTGTCATGTAATTTTCCAACCAGAAACAATGAAATAAAACTGCTTACAGAACATGAAAGTATAATTAAAAGTTTTATTTGGCATGTTCAGATGTTTTAGTACCCCTTTTCTTTGTGGAAAAATAGCAACAGAGACAATCTGTCTAGATGAGGGGTCCCCAAACTTTTTATCCCGTCGACCCCTTTATGAAATATTTGCCTTCTTATCGACCCCCAGATTAAGTATTTAACAAAAACATTAAATCATTTTTTCATTTGTAATGTTAAGCGATAAGGAGACCTGCATAACAACCCAACAAAAGAATTTATAGTTCCCATATCTTAAAAATCCACCCAATAACATTAACAGAAAAAGGAGATATTTTCCACTGATTTATAATCTTAAAAAATAATAGCAAAATTATGGATAGATGGAAATTTGCCTATAGTTCTTAAACCATACATGTCATAATACGTAAAATACACACTTATCTTTGAAAACATAACATAAGT